TGTATATGTTATATTTTCATTATATATATGAGTTTTTAATATATCCTAGATACAAATCAGATATATGATTTGCAAATATTTTTTCTCATTCTGTAGGCTGTCTTTTCGCATTCTTGATGGTTTCCTTTGAAGCCCAAATGTTTTTAATTTTGGTGACACAGACATTGTTTTCGTTTGCTTGTGCTTTTGGTTATATTTAAGAAAGCTTTACATAATCCAAGTCACAGAGATTTACTCCTGAGTTTTCTTCTAAGAGTTTTATAATTTTGACTCTTACATTCTGAGTTAATTTTTGTGCATGGTGTGAGGAAGGGGTCCAACTTTATTCTTTTGCATGTCGATATTTAATTGTTCCAGCACCATTTATTGAATTAAGGTTTTTTAAATATCTAACTCATTTAATCTTTACAACATCCCTTTGAGGTAGGTCCTATTAATTCCCCCAGAGAGGAAAGGTTTAGTATTTTTCTGTTCACTCAGGTATTGCATGGCAGGGAGGAGAGGGGACCTAGGCAGTTTGGCCTCAGAGGCCACACTCTAACCATGAATTTCTCTTCACCTCTCTCCTTCTACCTGTTGGCAGGGAAGAACTACCTCAAAAACAGTCAGTCAGTCATACAAAGAGAACATTTTCTTTCTTATATATTGTGGTTATGCTGAAATGCTTCTGCTTTCTTAATTTGTCTGTGGTTGGTGAATTCAGTTAGTTGTAGCATTGGCTTGTATGAATTCAGGGTCACAGTTTCCAATCCTTATAGTTTGGTTACATCTCACTGACACCCTAGTCAATAATATTTAGTCTTAGTCACCAGAGAGATCAAACTAGGGGGAGGATGACCATTACCAGTTCTAGAACCTCACCAGCCCACACAAGTTCTAGCTGTGGTGGGCCAGGAGCCCTGTGGCCCTCCCACACCCTGAAATGGAATCTTTCACTTCTCTTAAGACTGTTTCCATTAACAGCACTGGACTAGGAACACAGCCCTCAGCTCTTGTTCAGGAACTGCTGCTTGGCAGATCTGCAGATCTGCCCTCGCTTTATCGTAACATTTTCTGACTCAGCCTGTTTGTAAGATGTTCATAGGAATTAAACAGATATATGAGTAACATGATACATTTTTACAAATCTGAGTCTATAAAAATTTTCATAGTCTTTCTCAAGCTTACTTCGTGATTCATCTGCTTGAATGGCCTGAGTACCAAACTCAGAGAGGCCCAGAATTCTCTTCAGTCAAGCTTTCATTCCTCCCCATCTTCTCTGAGCTGATTTCCTTTGGTCTCTGGGAAATCACTTTGGCCACTTGGTCTGTACTCATGCACATGACTGCCGCTGCATTCAGAGAAACGAGCCGTGTTCCAGTGTAACAGAGCAGATGTAGGCTAACTACCACAGTAGCTTGTGGTAAAATGAACAAAGCAAGGTGTGATTGATGTCTTTCCCAGCCACCGGGCTGTAAATGCCCCCAAAGCAGGGGCTCTGTCTCTTGCACTCTCTGTTATATCCCCAGTGCCTCGTATAAGACTCAGTAAGTGTGTTGAGTGTGAGAGAGGAACCTTAAGGGACATTTTGAAGAGGCCAAGTACATAGTCGTACTATATTTCAAGTAGGACAATGCTTAGTGAACATCCTCTCGTTTTAAAGCTGGTAGTCTTCTATTTTAATAGTTAAGGGATTTGGTAGGAAGGAGAGAGAGGGGGAAAAGCCTAATATATAAATTACTGTGGTTAGTTGGGGTGAAGTTTGAGGTGCTAGTTTCATTTTTCATAAATGGCGAAAATCAAGAGGAAGGAAGCAATGCTATAAATGTAGAGAGGGGGTGAAGAATTTGAAGGTTTGGGAAGTTTAGTTAGTAAGAATGCCACCCCATTTTAAGATAGCTTTTTATATTTCTTTTGCATTTGGCTTGTAATGTGGCACTTATAACAACCTAGAAAAGCAGGCCAGGCAGGTGGAGTCAGCCTCATTTTACAGACAAGGAAGCTGATTCAAAGTTAGGAATTTACCATGTGTTAAGTAGCTTATACTAATAGGTAGTGAGGTTGGAACTTGACTTATATCTTCAGACTTTAAGTTCAGTATTTTTCTTATGCCTTTCATCCCCACCTAGTTTTCCCAAACAATCATCCTAAGGGGGGGGGGGGTTAAATCTAATGAGATAAGCTTTTATCTGTTCTTCTCATTAATCTAGCATGGAGCTGGGGTAAATCTAATATCCTTTTGTTAAGAACCAGTAAAAAGCTGTCCCAAGTGGAGATTTATCTTCACTGGGCTTTTATTTCATGAAACACTTTGAAATACTTATGAGGTAACTGCGAAAGCATGCCATTGGCATAATGAGTCACTCCAACTGTCTAGCTATGCTGGAGGCAAGAGAAGGCAGAAGATTGGGGACTTTTGTTAATGGAGTGAGTCCTGGGTTGAGCAGCTGCTGGCTGCTGAACTGAAATAGTGAAGTAGGGCTGTTCGATGACCCTGTCCTGCGGGAGAAGAGAGATCAGTTCTTCTTCAGAGAGTTCATCGTTTTCTCTTGCTCTCTCTCACCAGGTTTTGAAGGCAGCACCTGTGAGCGGAATATTGATGACTGCCCCAACCACCGGTGTCAGAACGGAGGGGTTTGTGTGGATGGGGTCAATACCTACAACTGCCGCTGCCCCCCTCAGTGGACAGGTATGTACCGTGTGGTGAATCGGCCAGGGGGGGGCACGGATTGGTAACCAGAGGCAGGCTGCTGTAGAAGTGGGCACCTTTCACAAGGTCTCTGTGCTAGGTCATTGTGCTGACCATGTACGTTCTCCTGTGTTCACTTAAAGGAATGTGTTCACAGGTACTTACTGAGCGTGGCTCTGAACTCAGCACCGTGCTAGTTGCTGGGGCAGCTGTGAGAGAAGAGCATTACTGACGGACTCGGAGGTTATCTGGGAAAAGCAGCCCATCGCCTGGAATATAGTAGATGCGTAATAAATATCTGAGAGGAAAAGAACATGCTTAAATGTGAAGATAGAAATGTTTTTATCACACACACACACATAAATGGTAGCTGTGTGAAGTAATGGATGTGTTAACTAACCTTATGGTGGTAATTATTTGCAATATATATGTATATCAAATAATCACATTGTGTACCTTAAACTTACACAATGTTATATGTCAGTCATATCTCAATAAAAATGGGGGGCGGGGTGGAGGGGGGAAGGATTACAACTTGTCAAATTTTGGTGTCATATCAAAGAATATTCATAATTATATGAAAAGGCTATTAGAATATTCCTCTTCCAACTTCAAAAAAAAGTACAAGTTATAGAGACCTCAAGAGTTCAGAGCTTATTGTTTCTTCACAGACAGAACTCCACCTCATCTTATTGTTGTGTCCTGTAATTATGCAAAGGGTTGGGCAGGTGCTCTTGATACATTTTTATGACGCCCATCTACCTTTCTATTTTTCCCTCTTTCATATCCTTTTTTCACATCGGACAAAAATAGGTTTTTTTTTTGCCTCTGATACTAGTATCAGAAGAGTAGCCTTGCTTAATTTTAAAACCTCTTGGAAGTTTCTGATATTGTCTTAGGCAGATTTTCCACTTCTGTTTGAAAGCTAAGTGATTTTTTGCAGACATTCAGATCCCATTTCTGTTTATTTATCTAACTGAAAGTGGAGACAATTAAGAACTGATTAAGTGATTAAGAACTGAGCCTTTTTTGAGAGAAATTGATTGAGTTAATGCGGAAACCCAAGAATAAGTTATGATATAAAGAAGAAACTACAGTACCTGTGAGGGATGGTGCCCGGCAAAGAAGTCTTGATGTTGGATTGCCGCCAACCCTACCTGGTATTTAGTGCTAAGAATTGCTTTCCCTTATCTGTGGCAGCTAATTATTTAGAGTACTTTTTGAGCTGTAGACTATGAGTAAAAAAAAGGTTAAAAGGGTTTAAAACTTCAATAACACGATTTTCTGGAAAGGCACACATTTCTGCTTTTAATCCCCAGACTGTCCATTTGTAATACTTTCCCACTGGGTTTCCTAGAATTGGATTTCCCCTAGAATTTCTACTTGATGTCTTGATCCTACGCCTTCACTCCCAAACCCCTGCTCTTTCTGTCTTCTCTCTTTAGCTTTTGCCATTTCTCTGGTAGATTTTTCAAAGGCCATTTATTTTCACCTTAAAAAATTACTATGAAGTTAATTACATGACAATAATGGGAAAGATTTGAATTTTTCTCTTTTTAATGTCCCTCGAAGTGGTGTTGGGTGGGATGAGATGCTGGTTAGGGACTTGGCCCCATTCTCTTCTCTCCCTTGCCCTGCGGGAGAGGAGAAGGGCTCCGTGTGGTTCTAAGCTCTGAACAGTCAAGATGAAATGATATTGTGATTTCGTTACTGGTTTTTCTTTGATACCACACTCAGTTAGTTTCCTGCTTTGATATGAAATAGGAAAACCCAATCATGGGGCACGTTTTCCCAGTGAAATGATAATTTACCAACATTTCTTACCCCAGGATGTTTAATAAATTCCTCTTTTCTGTGAAGGTCCTTGTAAGATGTTTCTTTCTCCATGTGTTCTTGTATTTCTAGAAAAGATGGCAGACATGATGGGTAAATCCAGTGTGGTAATATTTATTTATTTTGATCTGCTGTCGTATAAAGTGACCCCCTTCCTTTGGTTTCTTGCCACAGTTTTCCTTCCTCTATGTCACTCCTCCCAATTCTTTGGTTTCCAATGACAACCTGTTGTTTGCTCTCCTCCCCACCAACAGGATAAAGTCCAAGGTTCTTCCACTTCATATGAATGAAGTCCTTCCTGGCCTCAGCCATGTATTAGTATGTTCTGCTTTATACAACCTAAAGAAATGACTGGGGCTGGGGGCTGGGAGTTAACTGATGTTTATTAGCACCCCAATAAGTGCTGATTACGTTGTTTTTGATTTGGTAGCCACTAGACACACCTATTGTGCCACAACTGAACAATACCTGATTTTTTTTTAAAGTTAAGCTTTGCAGTAACTGTATGAAGGGTAGAGTTTATGAAATATCCTTTTTACAGATGATCATGGGTCTCAGAAGAGCTAAACATTTACTCAAGGCACATAGTGGTTCGGCTAGAAGTTGAACCAAGTCTGTGCTCAATCTGTGGTCCTTTTCCTATGCAAATTTACTCTATGGGTGGTCTTTTTGAAATTTTTTTTGTTTTTAAGAACTTTGATTCTTTTTAATTGATTGAAAGTACAATTTATAGTTATATTAGTCTAGGATATGGTGCTTTAACTCTTTGTGTTTCTCCTTTTTAAAAGTTTACCTGTTAATTTGAGATTCAAAATTAATATTAAGTGAATGTTTACTATTTAGTCTGGTGGTCTTTTCATTATACCTAAAAGCTTTATTACAACTTCGTTCAGAATTCCCTTTATAATTTCCAGCTGTAGGGTTTAAGCGTGAACTGTTTCGTCTGGCTTTTGACAAAATAGAAAAAGAAGGGTTGGAGTAGGTTTCTAGGAGAGGGAATGAAGTTGCCAGCTATCCGAAAAAGAATGGATGGGATTGTGGAGCTGAAAAAACTAGGTATCAATTTGAAATAAGTGGAGATTTGGGAATCTGCCATGTTTTTAATGAGAAGAGCCTGCTACATCCTGTGTTGGATGTGCACAAACATGGAAGGCTTAGTCTTCTATAGCAAATTTCAGGCTTCACATGACCAGAGTTTTTCCAAGTCTGTTTATGGTTTGATTTCAGGTAAATGTGTCAGCTTCCCCCCTCCCCCCACCCCTACTTTTTTTTTTTTTGAAGTCTTTATTTGTCAACCATGGAACTGATATCTCTTAGTTACTTTATTGGGGTATTGGGTGAATGAATGGTGCAATAAAAAGCTTTTTGAGTTTATACTCACCAAACAATTATCTTGTAAAACATTCTGAATTCTGCTGTTTGATATGGTAGCCACTAGACACACCTATTGTGCCACAACTGAACAATACCTGATTTTTTTTTAAAGTAAAATGTCTCATTAATAATGTTTTACATATTGATTAGATGCTAAAATGATGTTTTAGATACACAGAGTTAGATAAAATATAATATTGAAGTTAATTTTACCAGTTTCTTTTGCCCTTTTTAAGTGCCACCAGAAAATTTAAAATTACATCTGTGGTCCTAGCCGGTTTGGCTCAGTGGATAGAGCGTTGGCCTGCGGACTGAAGGGTCCTGGGTTCGATTCCAATCAGGGTCACATGCCCGGTTGCGGGCTTGATCCCCAGTGAGGGGCATGCAGGAGGCAGCCAATTGATGATTCTCATCATTGATGTTTCTAGCTCTCTCTGCCTCTCCCTTCCTCTCTGAAATCAATAAAAACATGTTTAAAAAAATTACATCTTTGTCTCTGAGACATTTCTATTGGACCACACTACTTTAGCGGCAAAGATGTTCTTTGGTGTTACCATTGCTGCTACTGGGTAGATGTGTCCTCTTTGATCCTGATAGGTAGAGGTGGGCTTGAAACTGTCTGTAGAGGGGCCTTGTGTTGGCCTCACTGGAAAAAAACATGGTGGCCATGCTCTGGTGTGGTTCCCACATCAATGGTGTGCAGAACTGATCTCTAGCCCATCGCAGAACCTTTTTACTTGGTGTGACTCTCTAGACTAGTATTCGTTTATGCCCTCAAAACCTACCACCCTTCTGGCCAAGCTAAAACCCAGGCAGAAGAAAGAAATGGAATTGGACAAATGATTTAGTTTTTTATTGGTAGATTGTGATGGAGTTAGTTCCCTTTACGAAATGGAAGTACACCCGAGGATCGGACGAAGCCCAAGCACACGTGTTTTTACTGTTACTGTATCTGGCCCCAAGCCATCTGCCATCTTATGAGAGAAGTTCTGCTCTGGCAGATAGCCACCTAAGAAAACAAAAGTTATGAAAGGCCCCCAAATTAACTAAGGCAGTGCAGATTAATGTTTTGTCTACGTAGATTGCTATTTGGATTTTCTTTTTAAAGGTTCATTTCCTTCAGAATTAAAGTTGCCTCTAAACTCCACTCACAAATTCCTCTCTGGCAGCTTTTGGTTTTGGGTTCACTCCTAGGGCAGACATGATTTATTTTCCTGTCCTTGTTATTAACCCAGAAATGTAATTTCAGCTTGGGCTTGGAATAGTGCTCTGGGACACTGAGCAGAAGTGAACAATGGAAGTTAGGTGGGAATGAGTCTAATAAAACCGACTACATTGTCTCTCAGCTCCTTTATAACACGACGAGCCTGAACGTGGGCTCAGACTCCCTTTGCTGTTGGTTGCTCCAATTTCAGTAAAATTTTTTGGCATGAATCACGAGGAACATACCACCAGAGGTGCTGCGTGAGCTCCTTCTGGCAGGAAGTGGAGTCTTTCCATGGTGGTATTTTCATTTTGAACTGAATATTCCCATTCCAGTCCGGCCTCTGGTTGGTGACCAGCTATGCTCTGAGGAGACTTCCCTCACAGCCACTTTTCTGCTCTTTTTGGTTGAGAGTGGAAATGATGTAATTACATCTGGGCCTATAGATGTTTTCTCCTTCGCTTTCTGCATGGGGAATTGGAAAATGCAGCTCCCATTTCAGTTTCTTTGCTGTCAACTCGGTTGCGAGGCCTCGATAATAAGCCTGTTTTCTGGAATTCTGCTTCCCCAACCCAATTTCAGTTCACTG